TTCAGACGCATTTTTTAGCTTGTGGCTTAAATAATTCGAAAACCGGTGACCCCCTGATTTTTTTCAGTGATTGCTTTTGGCACTTAAAAAGGAAAATGCACAAAGATTTTTAAAAAATTATACGGGGCGGAATTTCAGAAAATCTACAAAAAGGGCAATTTTCACACATCGCAAATTTCCCTCCGTAGAATTTTCTATTTTTTTTTTTCTGACGATTCCTTTCGACGTTATTATCATATTGGAACTTTCATGCAATAGCCGAACAAATTCCCTTTTATTTGTAGCTCTTAAAAGGTGATTCGGGCGCTCGCATTTAGAAATCGTGAAAAATTCGACAATTCAGTTTTTTTTTCAAAATTTTTGCTATAGTCTGATAGCCAGTCCTATAAGCTTTAATTTGATATCGATGTTTAGATATCTACAGTTTAAACCGGACGCGCTACATCGCTTGCACGCGAGACACCCCTGAAGGTGCATGCTCTGACGAAGGGCTAACGCTCGAAACGTCAGCTTTTTTATTCATTACGGTGGCCAACCTTAAGTATAGTTGGGGGGATGACAAAACGCAGCCAAAATTGTTTGGGTCGTTGTCTGGGTGTACTCTAGTCTCCTTCGCAGCCGTTGTTTGGGCTCGTCACGCAACGCAACACTCCTAGAGCGTTGCGTGACGAGCCCAAACAACGGCTGCGAAGGAGACTAGGTGTACTCTTCTATGTGTGGTTTTGGTTGAACCCTCTTTAATTGCATAAGCAAGTGTTGTTCATCGTCTAAAGGACTAAGTACACCGGATAAAAGCAGAAAAAAAAGAAAGCGTTCGTCCCAGTTTCCCGTTTCACGGTCAATAAAATGGCGTCGAGGGACGTCAAGTAAGGTCTGGCGGTTGTATTTTATTGGAGGGAGCCTGTGTAACTCAAGGCTAAAAGAAATATATTGTACCAAAAATCATAGTTAATCGATTAATTATGCAAGAAAAGATGCACAATTTTGGACTTTACTGGTCTGTTGCCATTGTTGTTTCTTTTCTACTTTTCTTTCGATTTATTTGGCAACAATCTGCCATAATTGATAATATCAATAATAACAATATTAATACTATTCAACTTACACGATCAATATCAGCCTGCACACCAACTGCCAGCCCCTAGAAGTGAGAATAGAGGAAGACCCTGCGAAAGGGGTTGCACCGGCTACCCATGAAAATGGTCCGAAATGTGCATTGCATCATTACCTGTGCTGTCTCAATTTTCTGCTGATAAGTTTGCTGATACGTTGTTCTTCTATCTACCTGAAGACATTCTTCTTTGAACCTTATTGCGCAGTAATGAAATCCTTTGGCTGTAAGTGACAGTGAAGCTGTTCTCTGAGGGTTTCAGCTCACCCTACGCATGCGTGCAATAGTGCAGATTTGAACTAATATTGCTACCACTTTAGGCTACAGAATTAAAGAAATCGAGCAAATATTAAAATCCATACAGGTACTATTGACATGGTATGGCTGAAATAACTAAGTCCATGAGCGAATAATTGAATAAATGAAATATAGACAAATTTATCACAGATAAGCGGATGTGTGGATGGGTTTGGATGGACACGTGTCATAGATGATATGTTAGACGGATGGATTGATGGATTGACGGACTGACGGATTGACGGACTGGTGGAAGGCAGAAGATTAAAGCCGAAATGTCCAAGGAAATGCTTTTCTTGATTCCGTAACAGAGGATCTTATCATCAGCAGTTGTCAAGGAAATGACTATGTTAATGAAGGTTAGATAGCAGGGAACTCGAAGCATACAAAAACTAGACTTGACAAAGGAATCAAATAATTTGATCCTCAGCGTTGAAAACTCAGGCAGTTTACTCATCAAGTATTGAAGATTAGAACTTTCGTGCCTGCTGGTATAAAGAAAACTCCCCCAATATTTATCATTAGTGATTTACTGATCTCTCCAGCTTTGCAGTAGTTCTTTATTATGTCAGTTACGAGCATGAACTGTTTGGCAGGACAAAATTGAACCCTTTGGCTTCCAAGAATGACATGGAGATCTTAGAGAAATGACAACATTGCTGTTTTTCTTTCGACTACGGATGAAAAATGAAAACGGCTTCCGTTCTTTGCTCGTGGTCCACCTCTTTTTTCATGAAGTATGGATAGATAAAACGAAGAGTCGCATCAAAAGAAATGGATTTCTTAAACAAGCTTGAATTTCACAATCAGTACATTGCATTTGCCGCATAACCACAAATTTGTCTTTTCACTTAATACGTAGACTTTTCCGTTTTTCTCTATCAGATGACAAACTGATTCGGATCAAATATTAATATATGGAAATGGCAGAAAATATCGCTCAAGGCCTAACTTTTGTGTTTGAAATGTCAACAATAACAGCATCAGATTATTAAAAGAGAGCAGAGAAACAAAACAAACGCGGCGTTTGTTATTGATCCTACTCTGAAAAGCGGAAAACAGAGTGATTCAACCCGGAATCATATTCAATACTACAGCGTTTTTGTTTCATGTAATTTGATTTGATTTTTTCTTTTTTTCCATTCTTCTTTTCAGCAAAATGATCATCAAATGGCTGTTATCTATAAAAGACAAAGAGGCAAAAGGGAACTGTTTCCATACTACATGAATCCTAATGGTTTCCAAAAATAGTCTTTTTAATCACTAATACGTGAATTATCCCTTTGAATAAAAATTTTCATTTTCAAACAAACCAATGCCAAAAATCGACCGCTGAAAGCCTCATTTTCCTGAAAGCAAAATCAAAATATCCGGTATTTAGAAACAGCAAACACATCAACTACACACGCACACAACTTTTCAAATAAATCGTTCAAATCGCGTCGCTGGAAACTGGTGAAGGAATCAAATGCTTCGCTGGGGTGAAAACGACAAGCATACGGTGTATGTGCGATCCCACAAATCTTCATATTGGACAGGTGTACGAACAAGCTATGTTAAAAGAAAAAGCAATCAATCGATCACGTGTTCACGCATCTGATATTGGCGTATAAGCTCCCGCGTTCGCATATTAAGGTATTTTGTTGCTCATGTCCTGTACGACAAATGGACGCCTATTACTGAACAAATAATTTTCTTTTTACGGCGGGTTACCCATTCAGCAAACATTCAACATATTTTGAGGATTTGTCTAATTACACCGTTGGAAGCAGGCCGATCATTTATGGAAAATCATTATTGGGTCCATCTGTGCGGTGCGCTCAGCGAAACAGAAATTAGCGGTCAAGAAGTCACCTTTGATACGAATCTTTCCTACACCGAAATCACTGTCAACGGCTTAAGCTAGATAGCCATAGAAAAATATTGAACAGCTCGAAATTAAACCAAAAGGAATATGGAGGCGGTTCTGATTTCGGGCGCCCAAGGATTGAATAGTGAAGGACTCGAAGGAGTGGATAGTGGCCGGCGATATCGCCATCACTCAGTCGACGGGCGCCCAAATCCGCCTTCAACATCGCGAGGACGATTTTCTCCAGAAGGACGTCCATCTCCGCGCGGGCGATTCAACAGCGACCTCGGAACAGGCGCCTTCGAACAGGCCGCGAAATATTTACGTCCGGATAAAATATCGGTTTATCCCCTTTTCGGAAGATCGACGAAAAGAGGAGGAGTTAGAGTGAAAATTAACGTGAGTGGAATGATTTTTGAAACCCTCGAGTCAACGTTGTCGCGCTTTCCAGATTCGCTACTAGGGTCGCCGACGAAGCGCGAAAAATATTACGACTCAAAGAAGAGGGAATTTTTTTTCGATAGAAATCGAGTCGCGTTTGATGCTATTTTGTATTTTTATCAATCACGCGGAAAACTTTTGAGGCCCGTCGAGATCGACCGCAAAACTTTTTGCGACGAAATTCAATTTTTCGAATTGGGAGAAGACGTTATCGAACGTTTCAAAGAAATGGAAATGAACGTGGTAGACCAAGACATTGGTCCTTTACCGGAAAATCCGATTCAAAGGAAGATATGGCAAGTAATGGAGCTACCACATTCATCTCTTCCAGCCCAGATTGTCGCCATTTGGTCGGTAGTTGTGATTTTAGTGTCAATAGTGATATTTTGCATCGAAACACTGCCGCAATTCAGGGAAGGTCGTAACGATAAGTACTCAGCGCTGTATGGCTTGGAAATTTTCTGCGTTGCTTGGTTTACGTTTGAGTATGTTGTTCGCTTGCTCGCGGCGCCTCAAAAACTGCGTTTTTTACGCTCGTTTCTGAATATTATAGACCTAGTTGCTATTTTGCCATATTACATTATACTCGGTTTATCTTTAACCGGTAGCAATGAATCCGGTAATACTTCGTACGTGGCCTTTTTTCGCATACTTCGGCTTGTGCGAGTTTTCAGAATCTTCAAGTTATCCAGACATTACCGCGGCTTAAAGATCCTTGGCATGACGCTGAAGGCAAGTCTTCGAGAACTCCTTTTGTTATCATTCTTCCTACTTATGGGTGTTATAATATTCTCCAGTGGAGTATACTACGCGGAGAGCGCTAATTTTGGAAGCATCCCCGAAGCATTTTGGTGGTCTGTGGTTACTATGACAACGGTAAGTTGTCCATATTATATTTGTCAATTGCATTTCCTCCGATAATTGAAGGATAAGATAGGTCTTTGAAGGCGAGCATTAATGAAATTTCAAAACATTCATGAATGACACCCAATCATGACAACACTTACATCCATCAATTGTTTTTTGTTGTTGTTGTTTTGTTTTTTTTTGTTTTTTTTGTTTTTTTTATTTCTGTTTCATAATCTGTTAAGTTACCGAAGAAACACAAATCGGCCAATTTCAAATAAAAAGCACTTATTACAAATCAAATCGTCTTCGTTTCATGGAAAACACGAAATTTGCATATTCAAACTCACGTTTGCGTTTGAATTTGAAACTCTAATATAAATTGTAAGGGAAATACCGAAAAACATGGAGTTTACATATGATTTCTTGAAATATAGAAAATATCTGCCTGACAAGAAAATACTTCAGAAACAAATTGTCAAATCAGGCAGCATTCATTATTAATGTTGAGCATAACTGCCATTTTATTGATTGATTTTTGTATTGCTCATTAAACATCTCTATATCAGTTTGACGACATTCAGTATTTCATTCGCAGAGGTGACGAGAATTCTTATTACATTTTCCAGCCAGTAAAGCGCCTGAAATAAATGCTAATTATGTTCAGTAAATTTTAATATGTCTGTGACCAGCTGGCGGGAGAAAACAAACCACTCCACGGGATAAAACTGGAAATTTGAAAAAATCAAGATTCGACGTTGATCAAATGACTTTTATAGAGAAGACTGAGATAAAAAAAATTCAAGTAACAAAGCTTTCAAACAATCAGACTTACTGTAAAGGCTGTCGCTTCAATATTTGAAGCATCAAACCGTACGATCTCGGAAAAGAATATTCAACCGGGCTCTGAATGCATTGTACTTTCCCTCTCACTACATCAAACAACAAAAGCTGGAATGATTAAATTTTCTATTCCAAATGGTGCTTAATAAATGCAACATTAATTATTTAAGGGTGGAAGTGTTTCAGAAAATTTCATTTGCGACGCTAAAAAACATATTCATTTATAAAAACCAAGCTAGAGGTTATTAATTTGGAGATAAAATTGGCTTTGTATAAGCGAGCACATAATCTGCAGCGAGAAGAAAGAATTACCGATCGCTTGGAAGTTTCAAAAGCGACCGGAAGATTAAAAGATTGTTATTGTATGCTCTTTAGGTCGGATATGGAGATAAAACACCAACTACCCCATGGGGCAAGGTGATTGGCTCAATGTGCGCAGTCGCAGGAGTACTCACACTAGCTCTGCCTGTTCCAGTAATTGTATCAAACTTCAGTTATTTCTACAATCTGGATAAAGAAAAGAGAGCGGAGACTAGCGACTATGAATCAGTTCCCAACACTTCTCAAGAGCGAATGTCTGAATCGCCATAGGGTAGGATTAATCGCCCAGTGTTGTTTCTGCGGATTCATCTGAATTTATTCCCGTCAAAATTGACAGAACAGCGTTGTAAACATGCGTAATAAATGAAGGATTGAAATGAAGAAACTTGACAATTGAATATTTGTTACCTCGAAGAATCATCCGCTGATCTATCATCTGACGATTTTTTGAAAGACTCACGGCCTTGTAAACACGGTCGCGTTTTACATTGGTGAAGCGTTTGCCAAGGTGAAAGCTGTCCTTTTAATTTGAGACTCCAAATAGTCTTTGTGGTTTTTTGATAACTAATTTTAATTATATTGCGGCAAAATAACTCCACTTTTCACAAATATAACCGGAAAAGTAACTTGATGGGAGTATATCCCCGATGGTTCTCCCCTTTCCAGTATTTTATCTGATATCGAGACTTTTTTTTTCGTCCAGAGCTGGCAAACAAATTGCGGATAATCGGTTTATAGCGCGGGGATATTCCTTGATACAAATCAATTTTGAAATGTTTTTCCATGATTTTCCGAGAGATAGCGAACCGCTGTTCATTAAGCAAAGGCAATCACTAAACCGCATTTTTTCATTAATTCAAACCATAAATGAATTTCTCATGTCGCAGAAGACTTTGAAGTACTATTAGCGAAAAAAAAAAAAATCGAAACAGCAAAGCAAGACAATATCTATTAGTCCAATTTCAAATTTCTGGAAAACTGATATGTGTGACATTTATAGATAGATGTAGACAGAAAATTATCTATAGCGTTTTAATTTCTCTGACTTGAAAGAATTGGAAAAATCTACAAATCGAAAGACATCGAATCGTTCGATTTGAAGGAAGTGAGGTAAAGAATGCGGTTTCTAGTCTGCTTTGGTGAGCAGGTGTCGATTTAGTTCTATAGATTGTATCACATTGGATGGATGATCAGTCCATTTTTTTAGAATTGTCAATATATACGATATTTTTTTCGTTTGAGTAAAACTCGTTTGTTTACCTATCAGTAAATATTCATACACAGGACAAGCTCGAAGTTTTTCAAGTTGATCGAACGTTTTCTAAAATGAATAACTTAAAGAGTCATTCGCCGAACTCTTAAGATTTTTCAATTATAAAAACTGAATAATTTTCCAATTATTTCACTTTATGCTTATTTTCCAACTCAAGCCAAACTGTCCTAATTTATGATACAAGCGAATGAATAAGTGACCTTTTTCTTTCGTGTGAAACTGACTAGCTCAGCTGAAGCTAAGTCAGTTACTTCTTCATATCGTGCAATGCAGTATTTTACACCACATATAAGTCAATCGCACAAGTTTCGTTTATTTTCAAACCAGTTCTGGAGCGTAACCAGGATTTTTCAAAGGGGGGGGTCACAGAGGCTACTCACCATTTACACCGCTGCTCTCCCGCGTGTATCCGCGGGCTCGGCATGAAGGCCCATTTTAACTAAATACAAGAGCCGTTGACGAAAATACTTTACCCAAACAAAAAAAAATTTTTAAAAAGTGGGTTTTTCAACAATGGCTTTTACGGCCAAGATATTGTCATGGCGTTTTCGCCACCTGAATGTTGTAGGTTGTTTGCTCTAAAGAAGTAATTTGGATATATCAACAAAGTTGAAATGGTAAATTAGCCACCGTAATGATTACAAAAGCTGACGTTTCGAGCGTTAGCCCTTCGTCGGAGCGAATAGAGGAATTGTGGGTTGTGTGTGCTTTTAAGGCAGAAAATGGAGCTACGTTATTGGTGGCAACTGAGAAAACTGTTATTGGGTTACTGAGTGCTGCTGGGAAACGGCAGAGGCCTCAGTCTCAAAAGATCATAAGAGAATCTCTTGTTCAATTCTAATACATCGTGAATAATGAACAAGTACAATTTAGTTTGTGATGAAACACTGAAGAAGAAACGGAAGACTGTTGATCCTGAGAGCGCTTAAGGGATAGCAGTACAGAAGTCGTTGACAGCCGCGACACCAGTCCTATTACAAAGCCCAGCGGTCGTAATATGTCTACATTCTCGGCAATCAACTGCAACACCTATCAATTTGTTGTACATTAGCGTGCATATGTCTAAATTACAGCAATCAACTTACTTTTTTTAGAAGTGTGAACGCCTTTCTTTCACCAGTTATATATGAGTAACTGACAAAATTTGAAATCGACTGTCCCCTAAGGAAGGGTCAGGACGGACTATCCAGCCTATTCCTAATCGTGCCGGACATGTTTCTTCGTGAGCTGTACCCATGGCCGATCGACCTGACGTGTTTTTGTATCCTATTGGCCATGTTGAAATTCCAAGTGTTTTTAAAGAGGTCACTGAATCCGTCGCATTTCGATTTAAAAAAAGCATTTTTACAATGATGAATCTACGGCGTACATTCACGCCTCAATCAGCAACATTCTAAAGGAAATTTGAATTTGAAGCATTTAAAATAAAGAAGTATTTCTCATGTTCACTCTCTAGCTTTCATATCTGCAATTAGTGCCTCTTTGCGTGTGTACAAATATTTCACTAAGACTCATTCTAAAATTTTCCATTGAAATTCAGTCAAAGCTCTATCTTGTAACCGCTTTTTCATCATTGGTACAAAATATTTTAGTTGCACAAGAAAAGGATGATTAAATAAATGAACAGCCATCTTATCACGATGTATACTTGTTACTGATGTAAGACCCTCGTAAGTTAACAGAATTTTGCGATCCAGTTTAGTCCTGGGAGGTTATCAGGTTTGACATAAGGCGACCTAACCAAGCCTCCACCGTTTTTTCATCAAGTTCCTCCGCTGGCAAGTTTTTGGGCACTCGCAAATCAAGGCGTCAGAGCTGCAAACTGACGCGTGGCGATGGTACACTGATTTCTTCGTTCGTTCCAAGTTTCTTGCAGCTCCGCCGCTTTATGCTTCAAAGCCTGATAACACACAAAACAGCTATGGCTATGCAGGCTTCATTGAGTTCACCCATGATACGTCAAACCTTTGAAAAAGAGAAGAGAAAACTTTAAGGGCCGGTTCTCTAAACAAATTTTAGGCATTGTCCAACAAAACTGCGTCATTAACTATCTTGGATGTAGCTGAATCGTTTATCTGAACATTAATTTCTGTGAATAGTGTCTGAGAGGCTGAAAAAAAAATATTGGGTTCGACGGAATTGGATCCTGTTGTTCTCCACAGGGACGGGTGGAAATAAAACTGACAGTTACAGAAAACAGACATTCTGCCTACAATGGAAAACCAAAACTTAGTAGACTCATTATGTTTATTGAGAAGCAAAAGCGCTAGGTGACAAAACTTGTCAATTGCGGCACTAAAATAGAGGGCAGGCATGAAGAAACAATCTATATTTGAAGAGCTCTGACGATGGGCTACCGCTCGAAACTTCAGCTATTTAACTCTTTACGGTGACCAATTTACAATTTAAACTATATATAATACACCATCTAACATGTTTTAAAAACTTTTATCAACACTTCTTCGCTCCTGCACTAAAATTTGATTGATATTTTGCGTTTCCAAATGTTAGATCATTTTCAGTGATACATTAAAGACTATAAAATGAACACGACATCATAAAACCCCAGTAGTTTCTCACCCAGATGAGACAAACACAAGTTCAATGCAGGTATCACTGTTGAAGAGCGTAAAAAATAACCGCCTTCCGCTTAGCTCAATTGGTAGAGCGCCGGACTGTTGTGCGGGAGGTCGTGCGTTCAAATCTGGCCAGACCAACCACTCAGGGTCTTTAAATAACTGAGAAGAAAGTGCTGCCTTTGTAATAATATCTGCCAATGGTTAGACTTTCTAGTCTTCTCGGATACGGGCGATAAATGGAGGTCCCGTCTCACAAGCCCTTGTATGTGATAAAAAAAAAATTGTGGGACGTTAAAGAACCCACACACTGTTCGAAAAGAGAAGGGCACGGCGTAGTGCCCGGTGTTGTGGTCTATCTTTGTGTAGTGTCTATCAAATTGATGGGGGGTACTGCGCCTTTGAATATTGTATAGAAAGGGTGCAATATAAATAAGGAATTGATTCATTCCTTCATTCAAAATATACCTTGCAAACGCTATTTTTTATCCTCTCGTATTCATGTAGTTCCAATAGCTAATGCTGTATTTACTGGTGTTATCTCATTTGATAAATAGTAAATTTCTCCAGGAAAATGATCTTTTCCTTTAGTTTGCAATATCTGTTATCCACAGTTCAGTTGTTTTCGTGCGTGAAGCGCGAGTTCAGGAAAACAAAAAACAGATTAAAATTTCGCAGACTTTGATTTTAGTTTACGGTGTAAGTTACAATACGAGTTCTCTGTTTCTCAACTTAGCCCATCGCGCGAGTGACGCTGCGCGAACACTCGTACCAAGGCTCGAAATCTTTCCCACGCACTTCCCCGCAGGTAAAAGAGGGCTGCCCGTTGTCAAGACTCAATTCCAATATATCATTTCTTAAGGACGTTGGCTTTGTGTCAAAAGCCCATGCAAGCCCTCGGCGACGGGTAAACGGATATATTTTAAGGGTTTACCCCACATAGCGACCAACATCATCGCAGAAGAATGAAGCTTAGTCATGACTGATTGATAGTTTATCATTTGAAATCTGTGCCGGTCGTCTCCACATGTCATCCCAAACATCCTTTTTTCCCAATGATTTATTAATATCTTTTTCTTGTTTGTTTTTTAACTCAGTTAACTAATATTTAAGGCTCTCTTTTAAATGGACGGCAGTTCATCTCCCCTCAAAAGAACAACACAAAGTAATGAAGCGTATTTAATTCGACTTTTTTACACCCAATATCCAAAATTTCAATTCTCCTCAGTGATTACCACACATTTAGAAAAATGATACCTCTGAGAATTGGATGTTAAATCAGTCAATCTTTGCTCATCACTGTTCCTCCGATAAATTCTTTGAAATCGTGCGAAGAAATTCCGGTTTGGTTAGCCGAGTGAGAGTTAAAGGTTGAATTCTCTCAGAGCATAAGCGGAATCTATCAGCACTTTTGTTAATTAATTAGATGCTACATCAAAATTTCTACCCTCCATAGTGTTCTTTTCCTGAGAGTTTGACCTCAGCTTTATAAACAACTCTGAGATTTTTACGAGACGAGATTGGAGGAATCTTAACTTATTAACTTATTAAAAATGATCGCGTGCAAACCAGTACGTCATTTCCTACCGCTAAGTCTACCGCGGAGTATTTGGATTTTCACTTGACTTCTCCTCCCATCAAGCGGTGAATTTGACCTCATAGAACAAATAAATAAACCTCCTTTTACCGGAAATTGAATCATACAGTTGTTTGAAGTGTCAAAGTTTTCCGCGACGCTGGCGAATCGACTCCAATTGACTGTGTGGGCATTGTGCGCGGAGCTCGACTCAATTCATTTGAACGATTCTTTTGCTCGTAATATAAACTACGACGTGGAAAAAATACATTGCGAAGTCCCTTTCTGAAAACCTTGTCCCTTACGGCATAAACATAAAAGTTCATACAGCTGTTGCAAACAGCGAGGTATAGCCCAACGCGAACCAGTCGCGGAGGGAGGTCAGATAACACTGCAAAAAGTTTCCAAAATGACACAACAGTATACACAGACCAGCAGAGACAAAACATTCCGATTATTATAAGAACAGTTTTTGTTGGTTTGTTCCTTCTCGTGGATTGTTCTTTAGTCAAACCAGGAATCTGCATGTTCTGCAACTGCTTCCGCGCAGTTTTGTAGATCATTGAATATGCAAGGATCATAATAAGAACGGGAAAAAAAAAACAAATAGATCCCAGAGAAAGAGCGTACGATCTGTTCGCCAGTCCTTCTCCATTCCAATTTGGCTTGCAGGTGGCAGTACTCTCTTCGTATACCCATTCACCCCAACCGAACATGGGCGCTATCGCCCAAAAAATAGAATGAAGCCAAACAAACGCAATGGCGATGGATGTCTTGCGAGAGGTGACGATTTCTGTGTAACGCAAAGGCCTCGTGATGAAAAAATATCTGTCAACTGAAATTGCGCACAGATTCATCAAGGAAGCATTCAAAGATGCACTCACAATCACTGAGTGCGCGCGGCATAAAGGGTCCCCAAAAACCCAAGACTGTTTGATAACACTTGCTATTAACAGAGGGCAATAGATCAATCCAACGAGCAAATCCGCAACACTCAGATTACAAAGAAAGAAATAATTCGGTTCGTGAAGTTTAGATGTGCGCCATACAACGATTAAGACGAGAAAATTGCCTATGATTATTCCAATGTTGACGACGCAAAGAAATGCAGCGCTTATTGCAACTTCAGTGGCAGGAACAAGTGAATCTTGTGAGTCGTTGACCATGATGATCTTCCGTCCGTAACTTGATTCAACTGAGAGCAATGTAAAGCATTTCGACGTGGTTTATACGTGACGATTGATAATCGGAGTTTACCGCTGCAGATTCGGTAAACGCTCGTGCTCTCCGAAGCGTATCCCTACCGGCCGATAAAACACGTCATGACAATCATCCGGTCGGTTCTATGGGGTCACGTCCTTATAATGTTTACATTGTATAAATAATAAATGGCTCAACATCCGTCGCTAGTACGTGTGATGCTCTCAGTCTCTAACAAATAGAAACGAGTACAAATACAATAGTCCTCAAAACGAACAATAGCGCAAAATAATCACTTTCTGACGAAGTTTGGACCCTTTTTGTTTTTTAAAAATATCCTCGTCGTGTTTATGAATAAACTCTTCCTAAGACACGAAAATATTTGATTTTAATCTTCTCTAAGCCGCAATAGCATCTTCCGTGTCACAATGCCAAAAGAATTTATCATCAATGCTACAAAATAAATACAACATAATTTATTTCTATGAAAACAAATGTGAAAATTACATCAGGGTTTTCAACAAAACTAACGTAATGCAAAATTATTCATTCAAAGCAACGAGGACAAATTATTTATTCAGTTTTACAAGGTATCTTTCATCCTTTCGATTGTATATTATTTCGAAGTGAAATTCTTATTCATGACCAGGAAAGGGTGTTTATGAGCATCTGGCGTAATCTCTAGGAAACATGAAAAGAGATGTCGCTGAAGTTTAGAACAAATAAAACTGAGATGCACGAAGTCGACAGAATTAATGAATATTTTTTATTGTACCTGAGAGAAAAAAGGGGCTAAATAAATGAGTAATCCTTGCATTTGATAAACCGACTGGTCAAAGACACGCCACTAACTCAAGAGTAGTTCACCATGAACAACTTTTTAGACAAGATGCATTTTTTAACTTCTACAACTGATGGCAAATAGTTAATGGGCTTGCGCCACGCGACAGACATTTGGGTTGTTCTGGAGAATAGAAAATGCAGCTATTCTGACGACATCAAACTCAACGTGAAAACTAAGTCTGTAATCAAGGATTTGAATGCAGTGTTTAATACCAGCTTAAGACATCAAACTTAAGGTGAAAACTAAGTTTGTAATCAAGAATTTGAATGCAATGTTTAATACCAGCTTCAGAATTAAATTATCGTGCTTCTTACAGCACACCATTTACAATTCTCATAACTGCTTTTTGAATATGGACACCTCAATAAAGCATTCATTCATTACAATGGAAACACTAACGAATCGTTTCTAAGACAATTAGACACGTATTCGCGAACTTCATCTCCTATGGCAACTTCTATTTGGGGAAGCAGTTTTTCAAACGAAGTACTTTGTGTGCTTTGTTCACGGCCTAGTTCAATTTAGTTTCGTTGATAAAACCCGGAATTATTTCAAAGTTTAAATCTTGTTAATCGCTGTAAAAGAATGAAACATAAGCTTTTGGCAACATACTGGTCAAATTGTATTGGTGCACCTTCTTCCTTTTCCCACATCAAAGCACCCGGTACAATTAAAAGTATCGAGTGAGGTTCTAAACTTGGTGCGCTACAAAAACTCACTGGATTAGAAATAGGGAATAATTTGAATGTAATATTATTGTTTTTCTACTCCTCCTGTTTTCCTGTTTTTCAGACACCTTTGGTGACTTTTCCTTGCAATAATTAGTAATTCGAATCTATTTCCTAAATAAATTACAATTTCTGTCTGTCCTTTTAGTGCGAAAGGCCGTTCGTAGAATAACTCCATTAGAGTGTCAAGGTTAAAATAATTTTGCGCGTCAATACAAAAATCTGATAACTCTGTGCTGAAAGTGCTTAAGTTGGGTTCTAAGATCTAAAACGTGACTTCTCCGAGTGTTTTACCAAAGTGAGGGACACCGTACGTGAGGCATTGAAAATGTTTACTTTCAACTCAAATGTTTTCTTTCTGATCTAGATATTTCCTGATATCAGCTTTCTGTTGTCAAATTGTGCTCCAGCGCAGTCAGACAAAAAAACCAAAAATTTCAGTCATTTCCGAGCTAATTCCTCGAAGAAAACAAACTAATTTAGTTAAAGGTCAAGGTTTTTCTGATGGAGAAAGAGAACGGAAAATCGAATGCAAAAAAAACTTAAGCCAATATCTTTGATCGAATGGTTCGTATTCTAAGTACTATTAGGGAATATCAAGTGCGTCAAAGACGATAAAAACAATGTTAAAAATATTCCTTTAAATCAAAACATCGTTTATCAGTGAAAGGGGAAATATCGTGATGACGACGAGATATTGATCTCACGCTATTAAAATTGTGCTTTTTTCCCGATTTGAATAGGAAAAACAATCGCAAGCCTTGCTAACAATTTCAGTCGCTGGGAGCGTTCCCTTAACAAAGAAAAAGGTCGTGGCCAGAAGAAGCTCAAACGAAAAGACGAATGTGAAACACGTACTTTCTTTGCTTCAAAATTTCAGTTTAAGATTATGGTTCTGTTGAATTGCACCAATAACCCTTTCAAACAGAAACGGTTTGTTGCGAAGGGTTCCACTCAAGAATGATGATACTTCAACATCAAATCAAAATAGAAATACCTTCTCTGCTCTAAAAGTATGTAACCTTCCTCTGAAATTAATTTGACAGTTCTCGACCGCGAAAAAAAAAGATTCTAGAGTAGGCCCTATCTTTAAACACTCATAAAAGAAAAAGAACTGTCGACTTTTAGGTCTTTTATTGACAGGAACGATACAATCAGAAATCGCACAACTATTCTCAACGTTTTAGAGTCCAATGACGTAAGATCTTCCTCCGGGATTATGAAGGGGAACTGGGGCGGGACGTGATATACACCACTCGTACCAGACCTTTTTCGGTGTGCATTTTCTCCAGAAGTGGCAACTTACTGTCGAGCCCGCAGTAACGTACTGCGGTTCCTTAAAAATAACCAGAAACAAATTGGTGTTAGAAACTTAGAAGTTACCTGTTGCTTGCACAAGATAATTAATGTTTCCTTGCCTTTATGGGAAAGAAAAATGGAAACCAGCTGAACATGCCTTCGGAATGAGTGTCGGGTTTGATACCTAGAAAAGAGAAAGCAAATCAGGAGTCAACGGTGTTAAAGAGTGAGGTGGATTAACACATATCGCAGGGGGACATTCATTTTTCAACGAAAAAAGGGAAAAAACGGCAGCCAGTGGAAACGACAGCAGACAGCAGGCTTAAGAGAAAGTAAGGGCTTGCTCTGATTAGCTAGAACAGACTGCACGCTTTGCAAACCAACTGGACTTACTTAACATAATGTCCCCATAGAGTACGGTTTCAAAGTATCCAGCGAAGCCGTGCATAGTAAAACTCGTCTTCACTTCAAATTCAAGTGATTTCACTCGAGAATTGTCGATTCTGCTGGCTGAAATAAAAAAGTCAAAATTCTTAGCCGTTCCCTGATATTGTAAGTCCGTAAACTGACCGCGTATTAAGCAGCTTTGAGTTTCCTTCACTCACCTCTGTTTGGATGCGTGAAAAGGAAGCACTGTTGTGGGGGCGCTATAGCGGTGATGTTGTGAAGTCTTACAACGTACGGAGTCTCAAACGGGGCCTGTGGGGAAAAAAAAAGACAATGAAACTTTCGTTAGTGGTCGTTGCGAAAATGACAAGGGATGAAAATGTAAGGTGAAATTAGATACTAGTCAGTGTTAACACAAAGTTACAAGGAGTGAAGATTTCTAATTAGTACTTGCTTTAAAAAATAATTACTTATCATTACGGTTAACTTACAAACGAACAAACTATCAACTGTGAAAGTGTAGTGTGGAATAACCAATTAGACATGAAATAACCAATTTGTTGTTCCACCTGTCAAATATGAAATTGGCAAACAATCTATTTAATATAGAGGACCAACAATTTGGACATTTCTTAACAGACTAAGTAATATAAATGAGTCGATGAGTAAAGACAAATTCAAGCAAATTTTGCGTAGATTTTTCAAGGACATTAATAACTTTTCATTCAGAGCTTCTAAGATAGCTAATAAACACGATAACTATGTATATTTTTAACTTGTTTTATTTATACATTTTACATCATTCTACTTTTATTCAATTTATTTTAGGCAGGTCCACATCAGCTTTTTGCTTCCATTGTATGTAACTTAACCTGCTTTACCAAATAAATGTATGTATATATGTATATGTATCGTCCGGGTGAGTGTAGTCCTGAGAAGGACTGTTGTCGGTGGTAGTGACTGACGTTTCGACAACCTGTGCGGAAGTCATCATCAGAGTCACTGAGTAAATAGTTGTTGTCAGTAGAACCTTCTTACTTCAGTTCGTGTAAAACGATTGGTCAGTTTTGCCGTGATGTTATTTTTTGCAAGACTCAAGTGGCGTTCATTTTACACGAACTGAAATAAGAACATTCTACTGACAACAACTATTCACTGGACTCTGATGATGACTTCCGCAAAGGTTGTCGAAACGTCAGTCACTACCACCGACAACAGTTCTTCTCAGGACTACACTCACTCGGACGGTCACACTACACTTTCACACGTTACCCCCGGGTTCAAGCCATTTACTGCAAACTATCAACTCTAAATCTAAAACATTGCATGATTACTCACCAGTGGACCCTTGGTGGTGTCGTTTCCCTGTGACACTTCGTTATGTAGTTTAGGAGCAGATATTGGCGCTAGAAAAGACGTGTATTCACAGGGAATACTGATCCCATCATCTGGAAACAAAAACATTGAGGTCAAATCATGCTTATGCTATACCTGCTAAAAACCTGAGCTATTTGTCCGCAAAGTTCAAACATTTTCAAAGAAAACTCGGTCATAGTTGAACAATTCTGAAAATCTTGCGAAGATGTTCCGGATACTCACGAATACATTCGAAAAAATCCGAAGGTGCCTGAAAGACGTGTCAACAGTATACTTCCTTCCACAACCGAAAATGTTTTTTGCATGGACGTTCCTGTTACTGTATCAATTAGAAGTTATTATACGCTATAAATTTTTCACAAATGTGTCAGTTCAGGTTGTACCAGCTCGAATTGTTGTGCTGAGCGTGAGAAATTGGTCGGCATCACGCACACATGTGCTGTTTCAATCTACAGACGTGAAAGTCAGGCCACGGTGTGAGAGTTCACACGTATATAATCCCTGAGCAGGGAAGAAACGTTCCAAACTGCGACAGTTTTGGTGACTTAAGCGATTAATTATAGCTGTAACAGCGGTTACTTGTTTAAAAAATGTGCTTGTGTATAGTTTAGTACGACTCGCCATCTTGTTTTCTGTTTGTTCCTGTCTCTCTTCTCTTTACGTGAACAACACAAACAAAAAAAGTTTAATCCATTAACGATGCAGCTCTTTCACAGCTGACCTTTCAGGAACCTCTGTGCTCCGTCTAAACACTCTGGAGAAAGCTCATTGTCACCAAAAGATCCCAGCAACTCGCTCACAAGTATATCGGCCTGCGGAAAAAGAGAGAAAATAAAGACAAACAAATAAATAAATAAACAGGAATCGGTAGAACAAGACCTTGGTTTACGAAAAGAGTAGCGGATGATAAAAGCACTTTCTTCCTCGGTGAAAATTTGTGATTCTTTTCGTCCACTAGTGACAAAATTCACACAATTTAATTTTCAGTTTAAAAAGATTATGGGAAAGTTTGTAAAGTTTCACTACACGCCAAGAGGTAGTAGCTGATAGCTTATGGGGTTCGAAGCATGCCAAAAGTAGCTTTCTTCTCTCAAAACATATGCTCTTCATTCTATCGCAATTTTTTCCATTTGAAAAACTAAACAACGCACAGATTAAATGGCGCGCAATTTTCAAACCTGCTCGGGAGCATCCCACTCGCGCATGTCCGATGAGACGACGGTTACGTTACCATTCCATTCCTCTTCTTTCAATGTCTCCAATCTGGAAAGAACTATCGAGGGTTAGGTGGCAATCAAGAAGGTTATGTTAGTTCTGTGGCAAAGCAAAGTATGATAGGGACTTTAGGCAGTCAGGACGGCAACGCCACGGATGACGTCGATTAAAAAATGAGTTTCTGTGGACTGGGACGAGGGACGAAAGATGGCGGTCACGCCGAAAATGTGCTCGTAGTATCTTTACAGTTTCGCAGCCCTAGTGGTGGTTAAAATATATTTAACAACCATTCGCAATGCCTGACGAATCATCGAACAAGAAAGGAGCCGTGGATAAAGGCAGAAAACGAACAAGGGAAGGCAGCTCTCAAACAGACGAGGAAGACGAGTTCGATCAACATCACAAACATGGATGCAAAAAGTGCCTCGAAACAACAAACTCGAGGCTCTCCGGTATTGAAGAGAAACTCAACATGCTATTAACTGTACTTCCCGAGTTGGAAACTTATAAAAAGAGGATTACTCTTCTTGAAGAAGAAAACAAAACCCTGCAAACGAGCTTAGAGAACTCGCAAGCAGAGATAGAAGACCTAAAAGCCATTGTTCATGATGTTAATTTAAAGCAAGGAGCAGCCGACACCTCCAGTGAACGCATCAAGAGCGATCTCAAAGAGCTACATCGCCGACATGTTAAACTCGAATGTCACAGCCGTAGAGGAAATATGAAATTCTTTGGAATAACGGAACGTGAAAACGAAACAAACAATGACACCGAACTCGCCCTAAGAGAATTCATGCGTACGAAGCTAAAGATCCTTCCAGTCGACGAAGAAAACATTCATTTTGACAGAGTCCACAGAATTACTTCACGCCGTTCACAATCAAATCGAAGTCTTCAACCGCGACCTATTATAGTTAGGCTGACGGATTTTCAAGATAAATTTTTCATCAAATCCTATATCAAAAATCTTCCAAGGGGTACCGGATTTGGAGTATCCGACGATTTTCCCAAAGAAGTTGACGAGGTAAGGAAGGTGTTATATCCGATCCTAAAGGCGGCCAAGCGCGATAAGAAGACTGCATACTTCAAACAGCTT